GCCATAACTCCTTCATACATCCAGCTAGTATCTATGATGTCAAATTGTATTTTTTCAAAATTAGAATACTCAATGCCAATGTCTTTGCATAATTCCATGTTCTTCTGGCGTCTGTTACCTCCGCTATAATCACCCCATACAAGACTCAAAGCATCAAGTATTTCGTCCTGTTTTACTCCTTCAAACATAAAAGTATGCAAATCCATTCTGTTATACTCTACTGGATCGAATACATTCTCTATTATCTTTCTTAGATTGCGGAATAGAGTGTTGTTTTTGTAGTCAATAAGGTTTCCACTCATTATGTATTCGATTACTATCACTTTTACGACCTGATCAGGCTTAATGGTACATGCGTACTCGTTTACTTTTTCTTCTGAAAGATTCTCGTTTAGTAAGTTAAGATATGTATTGATTGTTTCATAGTCTACTAAAAATGATCTATACTTGCCCATTGGGTTTATGTTGAATAGCGAATAGAAGTGTTTGGAGGCTGATACTAATAGATCCTTACGAGTTTTAACTGCATCCTTTTTAATATCAGCTAGGAAGTGCTCTACACTATCCTTTGAAATAACATACGATGGCAATTCTTTGCACATAGAACTTACTATATATTTTATATTTTCCTCCTGCAGATGTGGTATGGTCATTTCAAAGACACTGTACACTATATCAGCAGCTAAGATCTTACTCTTTGCGAGCTTGAACAGAGTTAGATTTTCCAGCTCGCCACTCTCTGCTTTAAGATCATCTTGTATTGCTTCCATCATATGCGAATCAAAGTTGTTTATTTTCTTAGTCAGCGAAGTGCTAATGTCAAGGACGGGTATAATTCGCATGCTCAGTTCATCTGAATCGCCTTTAATTTTAGCTACGAATGCTTTTTTTTGGGCCTCATCAAAAGAGTAAGCTTTATTGTTCAAATAATTCTCACTTATGTTTATTATTGAGTCTGCCTGATTTATAACTTCCAGTGATTTGTTTTTAAGACATTCAAACTCCTCCGTCATGGCATCCAGTGCCTCTTCTGCCTTGATATTTTTCTCATGCGAAATATCTGAATTTAGTGCTTCTGTATTAGAGCTAAGGGTTTTAATCCTGCTAAAGAAATCACTACGTAGATCAATCTCTTTGTCGAAGTAGGATATTCTGTTGTTCCAGTAGCTTTTTATCTCTTTTGCATCATATTGGCTTAGTTCACAGCTAGCGCTCTGTAAATAGCTTAGAGCAACGACTCCTGCTACTATTACCTGTTTTAGTGCTCTTGTTGAGATCATAAAAATTAAAATATTTTCACTTTTATATTTACCTATTTCTCTTTTCGGCAGGGGCTTTTAATTTTTTATTCTCAGAATTAAGCCTAATGGATAGAAAGAGTCTTAGTTTGGCGAGCTCCTGAAGCTAAAATAGCTCAACAAGAAAATGGAAATAAAAAGTGGAATAAAATCCCGCAGTGTGGAGACATTAGCCAACAAACCATCTATAAGCCATGCATGTTATAAATACAGCAACAGTTTAATATATCTCTTTACAATATGTAATCTAATAAACACTAGCGGTAAGAAAGATAAAAATGCTTCTCTAGTTGCAGTAGAAGTTCTCTGCATGGGAATGCGCTAATTACCCAATTTAGTTAAACCTGCAAAAATTTAATTTTTTACGATGAAAGAAGGCAGTGAAATAGAAATAAAACTGAATGTCCAAGGAATACTAGACGCATGCAAAAACTTCAATAAAAAACAGAGGACTATTACGGCAAAGAACAACATTAGCAAAGACATCCTCTTCATAATAGAAAATGCATTTTCTGATGATAACATCGAAATTATATCGAATGATCTCAGCAAAGAAGAAACAGCATACTTTATGAACATTATCAGAAAGCATCTGTGCAGAATAAGCCTACAGTTTAAAGACATGAATAAGCTGCTGCAGTCTCTGCAGGTCTCGATATCCATTGGCAAAGAAGTGCTGATTAAAAAGTACATTATAGATCTGGTCAACACAATTATAGACAACTTTGTGTTCTATAATCCAGGATACGGTATTTGCAGGAGCAGGCGCATGGATAAAGAGCCTGAGAGGATAAGCGAGTCTTCTCTTGATGTCAAGCCGTTTAAGCTTTCGCTTAGAATGCCTGCTAATTCTTCGGGCAAAAAAAGATTGCTGCAGGAGGTTTCTGAAGACTTGGAAGACTTTATCTACTATGTTGTTTTTTTCTTTGACGAAAAAGAGCTGGCAAATCTGAGAGGCATCAAAGAGCACTATCTGAAGGATGATGAGCTGTATGATCTGGATGCTCTGTATACTGAAAAAACGGACAACGGAGTGAGCTTGGTAGAGCACGGATTAAGAGCTATCCATAAAAAAGCAGACGAAATTAAAGAGCTGAGAAAAGCAATAAAAAAATGCAATAGAGACTACGAGGGCATGGATGAGAAGTTTGAAAAGTTTGAGACATTCATCAAAAATGATCTAAAGATACTCATGTCTCTTATACACCACAGAGAAAAGATCAACAAAGAAAGAGACATCTACTGGTACCTGCACAACCAAATACTACAGAACATCGTAAAAAAGAACGAAACAGCAAAGTGTCTCAACAGAGATATGAACAAGGTGGACTTTTCAGATGAAAGCGAGGTCTTTAGCATTCTTGCAAAGATAATAACACCACTAGACTTATTGCGGTATTTGGCAACACATCGGCAGATGAGAGAAGAAAAGGAAGAATCTTGCAAAAAGTACGAGGCTTGGAATGCAGAGTTTAAAAAGTGGAAATCTGAAAACTCCAACGGTTTCAAGCATAAAAAGATGTTAGAAAAAAAGAAAAAAGAAGGAAAAATCCTACTGAATCTATATAAAGAAAAGTCAGACAATCTAGAAGAATTAGAGACAGAGAACAGCAGAATCAATTCAATGGAGGTCATTCATTCAATACTCAATGGTTTGTACGATACTATTTTGAATCTATCTATAGTGCAGAGAAAATTCCTTGTAGAAAAAGCAATAGAGCTTTCCGGCATAAAGAAAGGGCTATCCGCCAACAAAACTGAGTTTGACTTGGATTCGCTAGAAATATTTGAGCTAGAAATAGATAAACAGGAAGTAGCTGAAACTGAGTTTGTTGAGCCTGAGCCACCTAAGTCCGATGTAAATTCTTCTAAAATATTTAAGCCAGAAAAAGCTAAAAAAGAATTATTTAAGCCTGGAATGATTGAACAGGAACAAGCTAAACAAGAAGTAGTTAAACAAAAAACAGTTAAACCAGTGTTAGTTAAACTAGATATAGTTAAGTCAGAAACAGTTAAATCAGAGAAAGTTGAGCCAGA